ATTTTTCATTTTTTTTTTGAAAAGGAGGATGTACCCCCGGCCTCTGCATCTCGACGATGCATGCAGCAATTTTATTAATTAATCACAAAGACCTTACAAAGTAATACATCAGTACGCCTGAAGCCACCATCCAGACAACACATGTTGCTACTCCTATTCCTTTGATGAAGGGGTGCCGAATGTCCGAGCCTAATACCAAACAGACATCACACCAAAGCCTAACATCTAACGTCAGATGCCCCAGCCTAGCCACATACCGGGACTGGGTCACACACCAGTCCGGCACACTCACAGCGGGCACCACATGTGCACCCTCCAAGGCCCGACACCACCGTCTTCCATCAATCCATCTTCAGAGCAGAAATTGACGCATTGACTGTGTCAGGCCTCTCTGCCATCGACGCCAGACAATGTCGTACTCCTGCGCGAGACCATCCCCGCACATCGGACGCCGAATCTGCACTGCGCCACGCCGTCGAGATCCGTCGCCATCAATGTGTAGGATGAAGCACCGCTCCACCAAAGTTGCGGTCCACTGGTCCCTCGAGCCCGTGCACACTTCCAAGAACGACGCTCCAGGAGGGAAACGACACAAGAGCGCCGCCGTCTTCTGATCTACTGATCTAGGGTTTCCCCCGAAGGTAGCAGATGTTGGCCTAGAACTTCTCGACGGCGATGCCTCCAAGAAGGGAACGACACCGAAGAGCACCGCCATCGCCGGTCTTGGCATATAGCCGAGAGCAGATTTTCACCCAGATCTGTTCGAAGAACTCCATCCAGCTTTTTGTGCACGGGGTCGCCACCTTCTATGACGGGGACCGAACCAAAAGGACCCCAGCCGTCGCCGCTTGACCGGCCACGGCACCACCACGGTGCCAGAGCAGCCGGTTACGTCAGGCCCACCGTGCCAGCCTGCCGCCGCGCACCAGATCCGTCAACCCGCCTAAGCCCATCTGGGCACGGCGAGATCCGAGGTTTAGGCGACTGCCATAGGGGCGCCTCCGCCGCGGGAGGCCATGCCACCGCTGTCGCCGCCGCCACATCCACCGCCGGGATCCCGCCGCACCGCGCCGCCGAATCACCGGAGTGTCCATGTCGCTGGCGCCAGATGGAGACACCACCGCGTGCGAGGGAGAAGTCCCCGCCGCCGCCGTCACAGCCCACAGCCCGGGCTTCGCCGGCGTGAACTCGGGCGGCGGCGGGAGGGAGAGATCGAGGCGAGGAGGCCTAGGGCGTGGCGGCGTGATCTCCCCCTTGTTGCCAAGGGCTGGCGATGCGAGGGTCGGGCGTTCCTGTTTTGGCGGCGTGCAGCTGCTCGTTGCATTTTTCATGGCAACTACCTTTAAGTATATTCCACTTTTCCAGCTTCAGTGTCATATCCATATTCTTTTGTACTTAAGTTGATTCATTATCATCTGTGGCAATGATTGGTATGGTTCGTTGGGTAAGCAGCAAGCCTTTGGTTGAGCCTATTGGATTCTTTCCCTTTGATTGGCTTTCCAAAGGAAGACATCTGGGCAGTGCCTCTTGTTTTACAATACCAAATGAATTTAAACAGCAAACTAAGACTTTTAAAGGGTGGACCCAGCTAGGTTTCCTCTGCAAAGAGCCAAAAAATACCCAAAAGATTTATTTACCGTTAACTGCCACTTATACTCCACAGTTCTCTTTCCTTTTGGTACTTCATCTGTTTATCGTCACTTATGTACTCCCTCCGTCCCATAATATAAGAGCGTTTTTTACACTAGGGAGTAAATGTTAGGAATTTATGAAATCTAGAATTGCCAACTTATTTCATAGAAAGTTTATGCAAAATAAATTTATCTGTATAACTGAATTGTTTGACGACTAATTATCCCAAATATTAAATATCTGTTACTTGATTGTTAAATCTACAGTGATAATGTGAATCTTCTGTTTTGTTGCAGGTTACTGTTTGGTTAATCATGCCTGGGATTAAACGCTCAGATTATAATATCCAAAATACTACATATGCTGTTATTATTTTGGTTCAGTATGTCTTAAGAATGTATCTCATTGTACCTTTAAGCAATCAAATCATCAAAGCTGCCGGAGTAGTTGCAAAGTCAGCCTGGGGAGGAGCAGCATACAATCTTCTGCTCTACATGCTTGCAAGCCATGTATGGTCACCTCAACCATCACCTCAGCCTCATAATCAGTTACTAGTCACTCAGAATAAAGTTCTAGGGAATTTGCAGCTCATTTAGTTCGTAATTCTATTCACAACTGAAAGATAAGTAAAAATCGCCTCTGCTAAATATCGAACCTAAAATATGAGTTCATTAGGTTTTTCATATCTCATCTCGTAACTGGAATAGGCCAAAAGGGAAAATAATTCATGCGTATTTGTTTTCCTGGAATGCGTTATTACTTTCTAAATCTGAAGATATAAACAAACTGTTTGTGGTAGACATGCATGTGAGCTAGAAGCAGAAGACTCTCACTATCGTCTTGCATTTCTTTGCTCACGTTTGTGCAATAAATACTTAAGTGTCACTTACGTCCTGTGTGCATCACTGCAGATTACTGGGGCAATATACTATCTTCTCTCCATTGAACGGCAGATTACATGTTGGAATCAGCAGTGCCTTGCTGAGTCTAGCAATATGTCTTGTAACATTGGGTTTATAAGTTGTGAGAATACTGGTTTGAACAGTTATCGTGAGTGGCAAAGTAAAACGCAGATATTTAACAACTGTGATGCCACTGCTGATCCTCCAAAATTTAATTACGGAATGTTCTCGAGTGCATTGACTAAGCGTGCTGTCTCAACTTCATTCCAAGAGAAGTACTTCTATTGTCTGTGGTGGGGTTTGTTGCAACTTAGGTAGGGTTCCATCATTATCTTCTGTTACTTTGGAGTTCTTATGCATAAGTTTCTGTGCCTTGAATATGGCTAGTCAGGTTTATTTGGTGTTTGTTGTCACTTTTTCAGTTCAAGCGGAAATCCTCTTCAAACAAGTGCATTCATTGTAGAGAACATATTTGCTATAGCAATTGGTGCTATCAGTCTCATACTCTTTGCTCAGCTGATTGGCAAAATGCAGGTAATATAACAGAATTCTCTGCTCTAAACTAGAAATCGGTGTACCTACATTGATGGTTCTTATTTATTATCCTTTTATTACTTAGGTACCTTGAGAATCAGCTAAGCATCATACTTATTGCACTATCTGACAACTTGCTAGTATATTTTTATAAGAACATTAGCTCAGCAAGTTTGTTACTCTATAAGTTTTGCGGTGTGGAGTAAGTATTAATACCATCAGTGCTATTTTCTATAGTGCTATTGTTCAATTAACAGATTCATCAGGCATGTGATGTATGACCATGCATTTAATAGTTTGAAATGATTAAAATGACATAAAGCTACTTCTGTAAGCCATTTCCACTTTGACAACTACTTACTTTACCTTTTTCATCTTTTAGACATACTTGCAATCTGTTAGCAAAAGGCTCGAAGAGTGGAGGCTGAGGCAACGGGACATGGAGGAGTGGATGAGACATCACCGGCTCCCACCCGACCTTCAAGAACGTGTCCAGCGGTTTGTTCAAGTTAAATGGCTTGCAACGCGTGGAGTGGAAGAAGAATCCATCTTGCAAGCTTTGCCGGCTGACATACGTCGGGATGTACAGCGCCATCTTTGTTTGGATCTTGTTCGACGCGTAAGTTGGAGTTATACCCCTATCCGATCGCTTACCTAGTAAACCGTTTTAGTTTCTCAAAGGTTTCGATAGCATATTTTGTACTGAGGGGGCTCTGTCTTCTGGTAGCTGATCCCGTGTGGCACTGTGTCACCACTGCCTGCACCACCAGTTCAAATAATGTCTCTGTTCCTTGGCAGGTTTCTGATCTCTCTTTGCGAAATGCAGGTCCCTTTCTTCGCCGAGATGGACGATCAGCTCCTGGACGCCATCTGCGAGCGTCTGGTGTCGTTCCTGTGCCCGGAGGGTACGTACATCTCCCGCGAGGGCGACCCTGTGAGCGAGATGCTCTTCATCATCCGCGGCAAGCTGGAGAGCTCCACGACCAACGGAGGCCGGAGCAACTTCTTCAACTCCATCCTCCTGCGCCCCGGTGAATTCGCCGGCGAGGAGCTGCTCACCTGGGCCCTGCTGCCCAAGACCAACATCCACTTCCCGCTCTCCACGAGGACCGTCCGGAGCCTGACGGAGGTGGAGGCCTTCGCGCTGCGCGCCGAGGACCTCAAGTTCGTGGCGAACCAGTTCCGGCGGCTCCACAGCAAGAAGCTCCAGCACACGTTCCGGTTCTACTCCCACCACTGGAGGACGTGGGGCGCCTGCTTCATCCAGGCGGCGTGGCGGCAGCACCAGCGGAGGAAGCTGTCGGAGAGCCTCAGCCGGTGGGAGTCCTACTCGTGGTGGTCCGAGGAGCACCCGGCCGCCGACAAGCCCAAGCAGGAGGGCACCTCCAGGACCGCCGCCGAGATGCACAAGTTCGCCTCCGCGTCCAGGAGGTTCCGTGCCGACGACACCATGATCCGCAGGCTGCAGAAGCCCGACGAGCCCGACTTCTCCGCCGACCATTTCGACTGAAGCCATCATCTCGCTCTCCGATGCGTGACACATATTGTTGTTCCCAATACCTGTTTTTGTTGTAAATCTAGTACAGTACATAAGAAGAAATGTTGGAGTTTTCAGTGCCATAGATCATCCATACACTACCCTACTAATGTATAACACACATCCCTTTGTGTATGTCACTGTAACAATATGAACTTGAGTTCTGAATG